CTGGACTCCACATTACCGGAATCCGCGACGTAATCGTAAAACTGAAAGCCAAACTGACGAAACTTTCAGTTTTGTAACGTTCGGTTGGACAGAAACAAGACTGAAAGCAGAGTTAAAAATTATTTAACTTTTCTGTTTTCGTTCCGCCTTCTGTCGTACTGCAACCAATAAAAGCGCAAGGATTTGTGACGCGTAGTCACGTGCATTAGTCACGTGCTGTTTGATTGTCGTAATGGCGGAAAGTGTAGCGAAAACGATGAGAAAACAAATAAATTTGGAATTCTTCATCGAAGAAGTTAGAAAATAGATGTCTGTACGACAAAAAATGTAAATAATTCAAAGATTATTAACAATTTCATTGTTAATAAATGCAGAGAAAGCTTGGCAAAATCCGTAGCGTCGTCCATGTTTGACTCTACGACAATTACAGAACTGATCAACAGATGGCGCATTTCTAGTAGAGTCAAGTTAAAACGAAAACATAACTGAAACAAAAATTCAATATGTTTCAGTTCTGTTTCTGAGTTTCTGTTTTCAGGTAATGTGGAGTCCAGGCTTTACCCCTTTTCATATAAAAAATCTTAAAAGAGTTAACATATGGAAATACGTTAACTCTTTTAAGATTAGAGAATGAGTGTATATAAAATTGATTTCTCTTGTTTTATTTTGAATAACATCAAAATAGAAAATCATTATATGTAAGGTCTTAATCGTAAAGCTATTTATGTGGTAATGGTTTTGAAAAAAATTTTTTTTTGTTTATTCAAATTTTTTGGTTTATTGTCATACATAATAAATTATAAAAAAATAAAGAAAGAATGAATTTTGACACAAGTGGATCAAGAAATAATTATTTTCGTGTATATACAAAATAAAATTGACAAAATCTCCTAAATAATAAATAATTGACACCTAAATAATTTTATAATAATCTGTTTTATTTACAATCGTCGTTCTTACATTTTTTAATGTTAATTTCAGTTAAATTTAAGTAAGTTATTTATTACGAATCGAAATTGGCCCGAACCACTGTTAAGAGAAATATAATCAATGTTACATTTCACACGTAGAAGTTATTATCAACGAGCAATTATTGTGACATCCACATAATGCCGGCTAAAATTTTTAATTTATTTAATTTAAAATATATACTCTCCACCTCCAATTAATAGTGGCTTGCCCCTGTACATCATACTTTTCCTTTAACAATAGAGTCGTGCCGGTCATCTATTAACTGCTTTCGGGGAAGTTTTAAATTGACGAAACGTGGCCTCCGGTTTGCATCGGAAGTTCATATATAATTAAACGGTGCCGCCTGCCCCTAAGGTTTCCAAATCTGGTCTTGGCTTTCACCTATCTAACTCTGTTCTCGAGATTAAGGAGAGACAGACGGACGAAGGGCGCCAGAAATAGCTATCATAAGTCTGCACACAACAATCTGTCCATAGCATTGGACTGCCTTGACGGTGAAGGCGGCTCCTAGTTTCTTTGACTTCAGATGGAGGCACTATTTTCTATGTTAACTTTTATCCGATTCGGAATCTAATAGTTATATGTCGTTGGTTGGTAATGAGCTGGTAGAGCTTGAGATTCTAGGCCCATTTATGGCATTAACAAATAGTTACACGTTATAACATAATTTGATTAAATTATTTAAACAGTTCTAAAAACAATTTTATATTAATTAAGTTTTAATGTTAAATAAAAAAATTAAAATAAATTTATTATTATGTAAATATTATTTAAAAAAAAAAATAAGCAAAATCGGTAAGAAATGTTCATAAAGAAAAAATAGAATAACTTTAGGCAGAGGTCGCTGGCGTGAAGAATATGGCGGAAGGCGTGGAAGTTGTGCTGTCAAGCTTAGGTTTGTCCGAAAATAAAATTAAAGAAACGATAAAAAATGAAGCTTTAACTAAAACTTTAGTCGAAGTGGTAGAAGAGGTGAGACTATAATATTATATATTTATATATAATGCGTTGTTAGTGAAGTTTTTATGATACATATTAAAATTATTTAAATTCAAGTGGATATTTCTAAAATTTATGTTAAAGAAATTGAAATAAATTGGTAGAAAGTCTATGATATAAATTGGAAGAGTAGGTTAAGTGTAATGTAACGATTGAGATCGGAGGAAGTTTCCACGTGACGTTTTAAGGTATGTATGTGACTGTGATGGAATCTGATACAGATTTATAGAAAATAAGTAAAACGTTGCAAAAATATATCGTTTTCAACAATGACCAATAATGATCGATGATCGATCGTTTTACCATCCATATTAATTAATAAAGTTGGAAATGTTGACGTGGAAAATGATTGTACATAAGAGATATGGATGATGCAATTTTTAGTACAAGGCACTTTTATATACTTTATACTTCATAAACATACAGGGTGACTAGTTTCTGACCCTCTAAGCGTTCCAAAACGTGAGTTTTCATTTTATTGGTAAATTTATTAATAATAAACATATATTGCAGTCATCATAATAATTTTCTATCTTAGGCCAAATATCTGGCAAGCTTGGGATGGAAAAGTCCAACTTTCTGGACACGGGCTAAATATATATGGTCAAATCCACAGTAATGGAGTGTCAGATAAGGGAGCAATTAACTTAGATCTCTCTCCCACACTTCCAACCAATTCCTCTAGATAGGTGGTCTGCAACCTTTCTGACCTCACGGACTGCTAAACTTGCAATTTTGAATCCCGTGGACCACTATCGTGAATTTTTTTAAACAACACAAAATCTGTAGAATGATGATCATAAAAGTTTAATTTTACTATATTAATATGAAACTCACTTGTTTAATTATAACAAATTAATGCAAGCCTAAAGTTCATTACTGCTTGTTTGAAATAAGTTTATGGATTCTTAGTGCTTTTCCATAAAGGATTACAACTGCACTTGCAATATTGTTTATTTTCATTATTTATTGATAATGTCACTTCATATTTGGTTTTAGATTTGAATAAAAAATCTCCAATATGTGAAAAAAAAGCAACTATGCATTTTGCATTTCTTTCATAATACTTCACATAACCTTCAGTTGACCAATGTCCAAATTTCTCCACAGACCATCCAAATTTTTTCCCAGACCACTGGTTGCCAACTGCTGCTCTAGATGGCCAGATGGCCAAGTAGTTGAGGTGGCAGCTTATTGCTCTGGGGGATCCGTATGGGTCAAAAAATCTCCAGGAATTTTTGGGGGGTTCGTCCATCCAGATGTCGGACCTCGTCCCCCACCACTTGGCTGAACCTGTAATGGGCTTGTTAAAAGAGACCGTTTTAGTGCTACAAGGTGAAAAGAGTTTAAAAAAAAACCACCTATTCTCTTATTTTTTCCATTAGTGGGACTCTTTTAACAGAGCACCAGATAGCAGAGCAGCTGTTAAATAAATCTTCCTTAAAAATAGTCTCTCTTTATGTTGACTGCACTCTAAAAATGCCACCAACACAGCATTCATTTAAAGATTTATAACTGAAATATAAATTTTCATCTACAAGTACATATCTTCTAATATCAGGACTTATTATACTGGCTTTACAGATAATGCTACAGAGTTTCACAGAAAGCAAGTTTTTATTTTATTTAATATATATGTATATTAAATAAAATAAAAAATTGTTTTCTGTGAAACTCTGTAGCATTATCTGTAAAGCCATAATAATAAGTCCTGATATTAGAAGATATGTACTTGTAGATGAAAGTTTATATTTTAGTAAGTCAAGGACATTGAGGTATTTTAATTAAAGATTTATAACTGTCCATCTTCTGGTGCATAATCACCTAGGGCATGTGGCAGCAGGGCCTACACTATGGGCATATTCAACACACTGCCAACACCTCTCAGCACCTCTGTTCAAAATTTCAGGTTACTGCCAGGAAACTGCTAGCATCTTTTTCAGTGCTCCATACACCAGCAAACAAGATGGTAGCCACTGTGAGACTCATAAGAGCTCTATTTTCAATTGACAATTTTGAATTTATTTTATCTTAAAAGAATATTTTAATATAGACTACTAGTATACCTATGTAAGACAATCACATATTTTATTTTATTTGTTAAAATGTAATCTTAGGATTGATTTAGTTATTTATAACTCCTACAGAAATTAAAAAATATTCATCTCTCTTTCTCTTTTTGAAATACTGTATTCACTTTTCATTAAACTTTTCTCATTAAATAAATTTAATGTAATGTGGAAGTTTACATCATTCACCATTTTCTTGATTTTCTTTCCCGATATCCCAGCAGTCAGCATTCATGTTCTCTCAAAAACAGCAGCAGTTTTGTCATTTCCAGCAGTCACTAGATTGATGCTGAGATTTTGAATATACCCTATGGTATATGTATGACAATTTGGATAAACCATTGGTCAGTTTTTAGTCATTTCTAATACACAGACAGTAAAGAGATTTCTTACACGATTATAATAAGCAGATTTCACTGGACATAACTTTTTATACATAATTGTTCATATGTATCATGAAATATGTATGAACAAACAATGCAGATTACAAACATCATAACCTCAAGTAAACAGGGCAAGAAGTGATTAGTAATTAGATTTCAGAAGTCATGCGACCTTACTTTAAGTTGATACTATACTTATTTACTTTTATACTGTATGTCCTGTAAGAGAGAATTTGGAAATTTTGGATCAAGGATATTCACCTCTTTTCAGCTAAGTCATTACTGTATTTGTAGAAAGAAGTGAAAGTAGTGTGACAGTAATGATACTGTATTTACTGATTATTCAATAGAACAATAAATCATTCTATTAAATATATGTAAGTATAGTAAAATATACCAATATTTAAGTACAGTAAATTATGTGATAAGGAATTTTAACATTTCCAAGTATAAGTTACACAATCCACATAAGATATGAAAAAGACAAGAGAATTGAATATCATTAACAACCCCTCTGATGATCTTGTTTCTTTGGATAAGGGAGCATGGCACAAGTGATTTCAAGGTTGCTGTCTTAAGCAGAGTTGATTGTATTTAAATATAAAATAATGGAAAGCAGAGAATGAGACTATTTTTTAGCATGTATATAAGAAGCCACACTGGAACTGATGTCATATGGAAATAGAAAAGAAAACAAGGTGGTCACGTGACAAACTACAACTGTACTACAGCCCACTAATTCACTAGCCAGTTTCAATACAATTAGCTAGATTGCTGGAAGCTGGATATGTGATCTGATACTGTATTTAGTGTGTCTTATGTTATTGACCAAGCATTCCCTTAATTTTTTTAAGGAATGTTTTGTCAATTAAAACATTCACTTAATGTTTTAGGGAAGCTTCAGACAAAAACTTCCTGAGTTATGGAAGCTCATTCTTGAAAGATTGATCAATTAATTATTTCTTATTGTCTGGACTGGTAACTTAAATACCAGTTGCAATTACACATTCTCCATGGGATTTGATCTGGTGAATTTCCATGTCAATCAATCCACATGGTTCATTTGGAAGAAAGACTTTTTGATTTTTTTTTATGGAATTCTTTGATAAATGTACTATTGCACCATCTTGCATAAAAATCATTTAAAGACAATTTGCCAGATTGCAATGCAAGTCATATTTATTATTTATGAATCTAATATAAAAATGGAATCAAACTTTTTGACCATTCTGCATAAGTAAATGACAAACTTCTAGACAAATTTTTTTTAACTTACAAATTTGCATGAAATATTTCTCATTATAAATAAGATAAATGCTTTACAATTTAAGTTGATGATAGAACAATATTAATTGTAAATCACCAAAAAAACAATCATTAAACAGTTAATAAATCTTTCTTATTTACATAAAGCTTTTATGTATCTAAAAATTGGTTTAGTTTAGATTCTGCTTCAAACTAAGTTTATAGATCCAAGCAAGTCTTTATTTTAAAGAGGAAAGTTTTTAGGAATTTCTCTACATACATCTGATAAAATCAACTGCAGTGAGTTGAGACATCACTCCAACAATGATGGATATTGTGAATTTGGAACTTTATATTGATTTTATTCTAGTGTATTCATCTTGTGAGAAAACTATTTGATTAATATATAATCAAATAGTTTTATAGAGTTATAGAGTTCAGTAGATATTGAGAAACTCTTTTTTGTGTATATTGTGGGTTATTCCAGACCTGTGGAGGAATAGTCTAACATATCTGAATCATACTACCTGTGGAAATTTCAATTCAAACATTTGGATTGGGTCTTCTAGAGCAACGAGCTGATGTCTTCATTGTTTTGATCTAGCATGTTTTATAATAATAATAATAATAATATATTACAAGTATGAAATTCTTCTAAGTAATTCTGTGGGTTTGATATTTAGTGTGGAATAATTTTTAAGTGAAGTTAATTGTATATTTATTAGTTATTTTAGTTCCTGTTATAATCTTTATATATGTGTGCATATACAGTACATGATTAAGATTTATGCTAAGTAATTTAAAATATTCATTTTGTTTCATTACAGGCAAACAAGTATATTCAAAATGGAATTAGTAAGTCTGTTGGTACCCTCCTCTATACAGCAGCTACAAAAATCAAGGCCCAGACTAAAAATAAACTCCCTCTTCTGGTCGAATACATTGCAAAAAGGAAGATTGATTCTGAAGTCAAGTTATCAAGTGAGTTTACATTGTTCTTATTAATATAATTATATTTAGAATTTTAATTTTTTAGTCAGCCTATTAGATGCTTGATAAAGTAGCAACCTCCCATCTTGGAAGATCTGGATTCATATCTGATCCAGACCCTTAAAATTTATCATGTGCAGTTAGGATATCACTCGCCACTACTTAATCATGTCAATTTCTCTTTTGGTGTCACATCTATGTGTAATGTTAAAATTGTAAAAATTGTGGAAAGCCACATAGCCTTTGTCTGCTGATTCATAATCATAAAATACATTTGAAACTATCATAAAAGATAAAATATATTAATAGTTTTATCTTTAAATTTATTGAGATAATTTATCTTTTTGCAATTTTTGTATGAGAAAACAGCCATGTGGTATTTTGAGACAGGAATAACATCTCCAGAAACAATTATCTTAATATTTTTGATATTTGCAATATCAAACTTTTATTAGCCAATAATATATCATTTAAGATATAGCCAACCACACATACAACTGCAGTCCCACCAGGTTGTAATATTGGATAATGAGAAATTTAGATTACCATGAAAATCTTGTGGAAAGTGTGGTTGGTATGGGAAAATAAAGACTTGGCACCACTGAAACCTCACATCTCTTGTGTATAAAGTAATTGCACTGTCAGGCATAAAGTTACCATTATAACTATTAGCATTGTGAGATCTTAAAATGAGAATGAAGTGGGGGTTGGCCTCACACAGGAGGGTTGAATTGTCATGAAATTTTTTTTATAAACACTCTATGCTGGAAACAAGGGGACCAAGTCCTTAAGGTGAGTGAACAAAGCAAACATATTATCATGGAATTGGAATGTTTTTCAACCAATTCAAAAAAAGAATGTCAAGTGGTTCTAAGTTCAATTTTGATGAAAAAAATTTGAAAGAATAAGATTTTATACAATTATTAACAAAACGAACATTCTCAACCGTGTAAAATGTCAGTCTTCAGATTCCAGAATGGAATATAATAAGTAGAACAGTGACTGCACATGTGACTTATTATGTAAATTTGTATTTTTCAACTTTGCTTTCTATTTTATTTATTATATTTGATTTTATGCAATTTCAATAAAATCTTTTCTCCAAAGAATTTAAGAGTGTAAGTACATTTCAAAATTGATCTGAACTTAGTTTGTTACCGAATCCTCAATTTGAATTAGTACACATATTGAAATTTTTATTATGAATACTCTATATTGGAAGGAATTGGGGAGTTGGGCCAATGTAGGAGGCTTGGAGTGCAGCCTTCCTAGTTACGCCATAAAATTGATTATATTACAAACAAATTTAAAAATAAAAATAGAAAAATAATATTTTAACAAAAGGCATCTAATATTAAATCTATTGGCACATGGGAACAGATGAGAGACTAAACTCAAATCTGTGTTATCCATGATAAATTTTCAAATCTAGATCCCATCATGACAAGTGGACATCTCAATGTTAGTAGTAAAATATGGAAGAAAGAAACATTTTGGCTTTTCTAAACACTCAGAATATCATTCAAATAATAATAATAATAATAATAATAATAGTACTGGAAAATACAGTACAGTACTGGAAAATAACACGCACAAAATGTATTACGACAGAGCCATATTCACAGATAAAACAATTTACCACAACAGACCTGACATCACACTCATTGACAAACACAATAAAATCACATACATTATAGACATAGCCATTCCAAACACTCACAATGTACAAAACACATGCACTGAAAAAATTNATCTTCTCGCGAAACGACGTTATAGGAGGTACGTTATACGAAAGTTGCTACAATTTTTTCGCTACGTTATAGGAATTTCCGTTATAGGAACGTACGTTATAGGGGGGTCGACTGTAATTGCAGAGAGCTTGATTAAATTCGAGTAAAATATCAAGATACAACAGATACTGTCTTACGACCGAATGTTTTACAATCCATCAGTTTAACGAGTAAAATAAATAGGTCTATTGTGTTTCCGTTCGCGGTTTTACGATTAATCTAAAATCTTGTATCGCTCAAAGTAGCGTAATAACGGGGCATTTACTTTCACGAACGTAACTCAATTTATGACATTGAATTCGTAGGAAGTCGAAGGTTTGCTTTAAAAGATATCTTCATATAATAAATTAGATTTATTCAACACAATTATTAGAATCGTGACGTTTCCTGTTCAGAATTTATAAATGGAGATTTTTTTTTAACTTCTCGAAGCTTTGATGTCGTGATGACGCTACAAGGTGTGCATGACGAAAAAAAAAAGTCGCTTCACGTGATCAGTTTTTACCACTAGGAAGCGAGATAATATATTTAAAATAATGTATAAACAATAACAGAAAACGTTATTTCACAAATAATCTAACAACAAGTGAATGTTTAAAACAAAAAGAAAAAATATGGTAAAAACATCTTATATTTTAAATTTAGAAAAAAAAAGTATATAAATAAATACATGAATTAGTGTCGCCATCTTTCGGTTAATAACCTAAAGAATTTTTGTTGTTGTTAAAGTGTCAAAAAAATTGGAATTGGGTGTATTTTTGATAAAATAGAATAAAAAAATACAATTTAAGTGAAATATTTGAATTATATCCTGTTAAATTATGGTAGAGTACAATATGTTAATGTCCGAAATAGTAAACGGATCTACGAACGCACTAAACAATTGCAAATAATAAAATATCGAGAAATCTATGTTACTTATTGGCTAATTCCCTATGTAAATAAAATATTTGCCGAAGTATATTTGACACAAGCGACTAGTACGTGTAACAAATCTGATGACCAACAAGAAACAGACACAGTCTCGTGGATACAATGCGTGCAGTGTGATTCTTGGCACGTTTTGTGTCTCAGTAACAATTGATACTACAAATTTTATATGTAAGCTATGTTTGTAAGGATTGTAACACATATTAAAACCTTTCAAATTCATGAAATCATCAAAAATCATTATTTTTCCTTTGGTTGCTATGCCTTGACTCTGGTCCGGCATAGTACACAGCCACCGGTGTGTACTGAGTATAACCCACTAAACCCAACACATATAATAATAGTTATGACTTTGTAAATAAATTTTTTAGGTGCTTTAGAATATCTGCTAACACATCCAACCGAGGCATTAAATATAGAAGAATTTGAAAATGCTGCAGGAGTGGGAGTCTCAATATCTCCCGAACAGATTGAAAAAGTCGTGGAAGATATTATTTTCAAGCATAAAGAACAGCTTCAGAATCAACGGTATAGCTTTAATGTTGGAATTTTGATGGGTAATATCTTTGGCAGAATCAAAATTAAACAGTGAATTTATAAAAATTTGTAATGGAGTAAATATGAAAAGCATTTTGATTTATTAGCTGAAGCAAGAACCAGACTAAAGTTTGCCGATGGAAAATCAATTAAAAATGAAGTGGACATGCAACTTCTTGATCTCTTGGGACCAAAAACAGCTAATGATTTAGAAAAGAACATCAAAACTAAGGTAAGTAAATTTAATTTTAAAAATTTTTGATTTATTTCACTATTTAATTTGCATTTTCTCTCTAGCAAAAAGATGTAAGTAAACAGAAAGAAACAGTCAAAGTTAATGGTGATGTTCCTAAGAAAGGTGAGTTTATTACTTACATTTTCCACTTATAATGTGGCAAATTTTGTTTATGCATTTTATTTTTATCTTTTCAGTCGAAGAACAGCTTGGTGCAAGTACTATTTCAGAATTAATGAAAACAAAAGTACACTTCCACAAGCCAGGAGAGAATTATAAAACTGATGGATATGTAATTACTCCAAACACAATGAAGTTGTTACAGAATCATTTAAAAGTTACTAATGGACAGGTAACTTAAAATTCTGTTGTACAGTTTGTAATTTTTATAATTGTTTTTAAAAAAAATGAAATGAAACGATTAAATTCTCTGTAGGTAAGAACAAGGTTTCCACCTGAACCTAATGGCATCCTACATATAGGACATGCAAAGGCTATTAACATTAATTTTGGTTATGCCAAAGCCCATGGTGGTATTTGCTTCCTTCGCTATGATGACACTAATCCAGAGAAGGAAGAGGAAATATATTTCAAGGGTATTCTAGAAATGGTAGAATGGTTAGGTGAGTATTTTTTAATTCATGCCCAAATGTGTGGTAACAGCATATCTATATAATTTAATAACATGTGCAATTGTAACGTGTTTGGGTTGAAGTTAGGAAACTAAAAATAACAAACTTATTGACATAAAATTGATATTAGTCACTTATTGGGCCCAACCATTCAAGGCAGAACACACTCAAAAAATTCCTGGGGTTTCTCGCCCAGATTTTATCCCTGGTTCCCCAGAGTGGCAAGGCTTAACCACCTTGGCCATCCAGTCAGTCTCTTGAAGATATAACAAAATGCTAATTTCAATTTTTTGGCTTTCTAGAATATATTTCTGATGCATTATATCACCACAATTGAAACATACTGCTGCAAATTTTAGTAACTTGAAGATTGTCGATAAATGATTTCATTCTGTTTTGGTTGCAAGATACATTATAAATTTCTCAGATTCATTACATGCCCATATCTCTTTATTTGTCTTGAGCAATTTCATGAGAAATACCTATTTGCAGATAATATAGAGGTTACTCTGAAAGTTTTTCAATACAAGAAAACCATCCATGATGAATTAAAATGTTTATTCTTTTTTTAATAATAAACTTCATATTCACATGACACATAATGCATAAACAAATTTCATCATTCTCCATTAATTTAAGTGAGACAGATCCCCTTTCTAATAGTAACAATGGAAGTTTTTACAGAAGCATGTTGTGTAATGATTTTTGTGTTGGACTGAATGAAAAAAAGTGTTTATAAATGATTGAAATTGGCTTTTGGGGTAGATGCTCCATCCGTTACTATTGTGTTCAGTTGGTACAAAAAATTTCAGAGGGATCATACTTGTTTCCATACCACATGAAGGGAGACCATGACCAGTGACTCCTGAAAATGTAAGTGCTATCCAATGTATGATTGCAAAAGACCAAAGATGTACCTATGAAATGATATAGGAGAGACTGCAGATTGGAGCCTCTGCAGTTGCAGACATTTTGCATGAGAAGTTATGGTAAAAAGTAGCATCTCAATAAATACTGCATCAGATGACAATTTCCAAAAGTCAGATTGTTTCAGAATCTCAAAGAAAATTCTGGAGATGTTGAACCAAGGTAGACACAAGATTATTTCCAAAATTATCACAAGTGATGAGATATACATACCATTTATGACAGTCCCACACTTCAAGAAAGCCAGATATGGAACCATAAAGATGGTCCAATTTCAACAACTGTGAAAAGACAGAGAGCAATAAAAAAAAGTCATGTTTGCTGTTTTGTTCCATAGCTCTGGTCTACTGAAAGCAATTAAAATCAAGCGTGAAGAACAGAAGACAGTAACAGCTAATTGGTACACTATAGTTTTTCTTCATAGAATTCTGGAGTCACTGAAAATTTGAGGTATAATTTTCATCATGATAATGCTTCATCACACACCACCAAGAAGACTGTTGATTTCCTTCAGAATCATTCAGTCTGGTGAATGTAGTGTTCAATATGTAACTTCTGGCTACTTTTTAATCTCAAAAAATATTTGAGGGATTGCAAATTTAACACTGGATGAAATTGAAGCATTTCAGAAAATGAGTTGGGTCATGTAGTCGCTCTTCCAAAGATCAAAAGTATAAGTGCATTTTAGCCAGAGGAGAGTACTTTGAACATAAATAAAAAATATTTTGTTTCAGGACTTGTTTTGTAATACAGGAATATTATGAGTCACTCTCATATCAGAATGTGCACTTTTATCATCATTCAGCATGTTTTCTTACTGAAGAAACTGTGACTTTATTCCTGGATAATGTTCATTTTCCATGGGAGTTTTATTGTTCAGAAACCTGTATATAAATTATCAGATTTGTTTAAGAAGAGAATTTAAGTTAAGTTTACATTGGCATATAAACTGAATTGCCCAGTTCCTGTCTTTTTGGCAACTGTTTAACCAATTTGTTAGGAGTTGAAACCATCCTAACTTTTACTGAATTTTAGTTTGTTCAACCAACTTTTTCCTTAACATTTATAATTGTAAATAAACCTTTTCAACCATTATGTTGTACTAGATGAAACTGAGTCAAACTACATTTTGCTTTGGTTAGTGTTCATTCATAGTGGTTCATATGACAATGAAGACTTAGCATTAATCTTCATCTTTTCTCTTCCCAAATATAGTCATTGGACAAAATATTGCCTGTAGAGTCATACATGGTACAAAAGTATCAGATAACATTTAGAAGTATTTTTGTATGCTTTTATAGAAGCTGGAGAAAAAAAATCAGCCCAAATACTTTTAGACACGTTGCATTAAGTGATAATTGTTTACTTATCATCATCATTTGGAAAAGAAATGCCAGCAATAACAAATAATTCATTTTTATGCAATTAAGATATAAGTCAAATTAAATAATTGTTGTATTAAATATATTAATAGGCTATAAACCCAATGTGATATCGCATTCATCTGATTATTTTGATGAACTATACAATTTTGCCTGTGAACTGATCAGAAGAGATTTAGCTTACATTTGCCATCAGAAACAGGAAGACATCAAAGGTTTCAATCCTCCTCCTTCGCCATGGAGAAATCGTCCAGTTGAAGAGAGTCTCAGGTTGTTTGAAGTAAGTAGAACATAAAATATATAAACTAGTGCTAACAGTAACACTGATCAAAGATGAAGCTATACGAATATCATTAGGATATGAAAAGAGGTAAAATTTCGGAGGGTGAGGCCACTCTGAGGATGAAGACCACCCTGGAAGAAGGGAAACAAGATCCTGTAGCCTACAGGATAAAATTTCTTCCACATCACAGGACTAGCAATAAATGGTAAACTAAATTATAAACTCAATGAATAAATGATTTACTGACTCAATACTTCAACATTATATGTTTTAGGTGTATTTATCCTACTTACGATTTCACTCACTGTTTGTGTGATTCTCTGGAAAATATCACCCATTCTCTCTGTACAAAAGAATTTCAGTCGAGGTATAAAAATTTCCTCTAATAACACACATTTTTACATTTTATTTGGAGATATGACTTTTGTTTTAGGCGATCGTCATACTACTGGTTGTGCAATTCCCTAGATATATATTGTCCCGTGCAGTGGGAATATGCACGTCTTAACATGAACTATACTGTTGTGTCCAAAAGAAAAATAGTAAAACTCATCACTGAAGGAATAGTAAGGTAATAATATATTTGCAACAAAATATATTTATCATTTTAAATACGAGCAATTTCTTTTTAATAACTTCTTATGGTCTTGCTTACCATAGTGGCTGGGATGACCCCAGACTCTTCACCCTTACAGCTCTTCGTCGTCGTGGATTCCCTCCAGAAGCCATTAATAATTTCTGTGCTCAAGTTAGTGTGAATTTTTTTTATAACAGAAAAAGATCAAATAATTAGAAACTAATCAAAATTATTTCTAGATGGGTTTGACGGGAGCCCAAGCAACAGTTGATCCTCAGATGCTAGAAGCCTACGTTAGGGACATTTTAAATAATACAGCACCTAGGTAAATATTTTCAATCAATAATAATTTATTTCAACTTCATATATTTTTGCCTTATAAGATGCACTGTCATATTGCATGCATTATAATTTTTGGATAAGTTCTAGGTACGAAAATTTGTGTCTTATAAGACAAAACAAATAGCAATAAACCAAACTTAAACAACTTTTTCCATTAGCCATACTGTTTTATCAGCCTTTAATAAACATTATCTAAACAAGATAGAATTTCCATGTGAAACATATAGTAATAAAATGATGATGATGGAGTTGTTAATTGTCACAAAATAAAGTAGACCAAAATTTTTACAGAATTCATTACAGTTTGGTTTAAATTACCTTCACATTTTCCATATTTCCAATAATGATTACTTTCTGAACTTTTTTATGTGAACAATAAAGGTTTCTTGTATATAAATGTGTCTTTAACCTATCTGATGTTGAAATTCTTCTCCATTGCCTGTGATGCCATGTTGAATTTTTGTCGATGTTAAGCCTAACGAAAATTACACATTTTTTATAAAAGTAATCATGGCTATTTTATTATTCGAAATTATATTTTTATTTTTCACAAACAAAATAGATATTAATACATATAAAAACAAAAAAAAATATTTCAAAAGTTCGTTTTAATATAAAAATTATGATGCATAGTGACATCTAGTACCAAAAACGTTCTGATGCAGAGACAAAAATATTCAGGAACAATGCAGGACAGGTTAATCCAAAAACTTGTTCGGTAGACTATCTCACAGCATTCCGGTTAGAAACATCTTTATTTTAAAAATTGGATTACAAATGCATTTCGGGTTGGTTTACACTCCCAACCCCTCTTCAGTGCTGTACAAAAAAAACAACAATATAAGTAGGGCACAACATTATCTAGATATCGCGGAAAGAGAATTTTTACATGACTAAGGTTTACATACATATATGTAATGGATGACCCCAGACTCTTCACCCTTACAGCTCTTCGTCGTCGTGGATTCCCTCCAGAAGCCATTAATAATTTCTGTGCTCAAGTTAGTGTGAATTTTTTTTATATACTTATTTTATGTTCTACTCCATCATCATATAATTATCTATTTACAGAGCATATATTTACATATATGTAAATATATGTAAGGTTTACATATATTTACATATATGTAAACCTTACATATATGTATGTAAGGTTTACATACATATATGTAATGGATGACCCCAGACTCTTCACCCTTACAGCTCTTCGTCGTCGTGGATTCCCTCCAGAAGCCATTAATAATTTCTGTGCTCAAGTTAGTGTGAATTTTTTTTATATACTTATTTTATGTTCTACTCCATCATCATATAATTATCTATTTACAGAGCATATATTTACATATATGTAAATATATGTAAGGTTTACATATATTTACATATATGTAAACCTTACATATATGTATGTAAGGTTTACATACATATATGTAAACCTTAGTCATGTAAAAATTCTCTTTCCGCGATATCTAGATAATGTTGTGCCCTACTTATACAAGGTCTGTTCAAAAAGTATTGGACCTTTGGTCGGCAAAAATAAATTTATTGACTTTGAGGTACAAAACCCTAATCCCCTTCAAAGTAGTCTCCTTGGTAATGTATACACTTCTCCCAGCGTTCCTGCCATTGCTGGAAACACTGCTGGAACGCATCTTTTGGAATGGTCATCAGCCGGTCCGTCGCATTCCGCACGATGTCTTCTCTCGACTAAATTCGGGTTCCTTTTAGCGGCATTTTCAGCTTGGGAAATAGCCAAA